TAACTTAAACTACTTTATATAAATTGCTAAGTTTAATCTCAGATCAGCTTTTTATATTATTTCATGTCTATAAAAACAAAATATCAAAATAACAAACTAACTTAAAAAAAGAAAAAATGCTCTTGAATCAGCATTTTTAAAGCATTTTATTTTATTTTTCTCCAGTCACTTGACTCAATTATTTGCACAGATCTTGTTTACTTCAAGATAGAATCAAGGCCACGTGTAAGTCCAGTCATTTCTAATGTAGCAACTTCCCCCTTTGCCAAGTGATTTCATTTCCTTCACACAAAAGAAATCTTAGTGACAAGTAATATATAATTGTCATTACAAAGATATCTTTTATTGTAAACATTGGAGTATACAACCTTTAAATGGTTTTAGTATAAACCTAACAAAGAAAATAGAAGTATAAAACTTTGTTTTATACGTTAACAAAGAAGAAATAATTATAAATGAATATTTGCCTTTTTTTTTTTTTTTTTTAAGACAGGCTGATTTTAAATATCCCAGGGCTATAATAAACACCTGTTTACACAACTAGCCTCTTTCTCCAATTCCTTCCTTCAAACTCATCTCAAAATCTCCATTGATTTGGAAGATAGAATTGGAAATGATACTCATTTCTCCGTGTTATCTGCACAGTACTTTTTATTAACCACACAAATGTGAATCAAACTATTATTCACAAAATCAGAAAGTGCTACAACTGAAAGAAATAGAAGTAGCTAGATGCAAACTTTAGAGGATATGTTGTGCCAATAGACATTGTCTTTTGGATTGCTCAGCTTTTAAAAAAAAATGTGGTTCTCCCACTCCAGGCAAAGTTCAATGTGACTTTAATGACAGATGACATTTACTGAGTACCTTCTATGTGCAAGGTCCCACTCTTGGCATTTCCCATACAGGCTCTCATTTAACTCTCACTGTGATCCTATGGCACTGGTATTATTCCCATTTTACAGATAAGGAAACTAAGACTCAATGAGATTTTTTAAATTCTCTGAGAATTTGTCTGGTAAATGATGAAGCCAGGCTTGAAGGCAGGTTTGTCTTTCCTCAACACCTATACTTGACATTGGTCTAAACTAATGCATTTAGCTGATTGATTTTCCAACTTGTGAAGACTTTGGAAAATTATTTTTCTTTAAACACTATGACATTTATAGCAGCATGGTTCAAGTTTGCTTGGTATTTTTACAAATGATTAACTCAAGAAATTTGAATTTAAAAATAGAACTGAAATGTGCTAGAGCAGATTAAGTTTTTATAGACACGTAATCTGCTAAAAGTAAGAACATGTTTTAAATATTTCAGCTAATTCTGAGTTCTGTTGACTAAAGTTTTAGGGGAAAGTATTTTATATTTATGATATTAGCAGTAACAACATTATAGGCAGACTCATTGATATATATAGCATTTGTCTATGGTTCTCTTATGGTTCACAGGGATGTCTTAGATGAGACTAATTTCTTCAAAAGGAGAAAGGTATTCCAGGTTTAAGTTGAGATTTAACTACTGGGATTAACAAATGTGATTCATATTTAAGCAGCAGCATTATAATATTAAGGTAGAATCAGCTTGTTCAAGGTCTCTTTATAATCATCATGGGGCAAGATTTAGACCTAAGTTCATCTCAATTAAAAGCCCATGCTTTTTTCTCACCACATTCTGCTTTGTTATATGAATACAATTTTGTTCAGATTTAATAAAACGCCCTAATTATAAAACACATATATGAAGAGAGGTGGGTTCCATAGGTGGTTTAAAATACCAAAAACATTGTTTTCTTGTGGGGAGTTTGATGGGTAAAGAGGAGTTATTTATAGATGTGGAAAAAGTAATTGCCAATCTTTGTCTTGACTTTTTCTTGAGCTCTTTCTTTTCTTGGATGACAGATTTGATCCCATTAACTATGGTGAAAATATCTGAATGTTTGTCTGGTAAGTGCTTCTCATGTTTCAGGAACTGCTAAGAACTTAAACAGCTTGCTGGTTGATAGACCCATAAAGCTTACATTCATCCTTAGTGGGTCATGAAATATCATTTGCATGTATGTGCAGCTTTGTTAAAGTTTTCACTCCATTCTACTCTATTTAAAAGCAGCATTTTCAAAGAGGATAATTAGCCCCTTTTGCTCTTTAACCATATTATACTACTTACTTCAAAGGATTACCTTTACAGAGTGGTCACTTTATTTTTGTTCACAGTTATCTGTAATGAAGAGAGTCCATGGACAGAATGCATCAAGGCTACATTGTGAGAAATGATCAACAGCAAAGAGGTTGGTTTGCCTTATTAATTAATGCTCCATTGTTTTGAAAAAGCAAACTAGGTTGGTATCATACTACAAGTGATACCCTAAGGAGAGAAAAGGAGATGAGGAGTTGGAATGGGGATGGCAAGGAGGTGGCTATGTTAGTAGGACTCAGGAAAAACACAAAGGCAACCCTGAGAGGCTGAGAAGTTTGCAAATCCTCAGAACACTGAGCATCTGAGTGGTGCCACTAGATTGTGTCCTGATGGTGAGGGACTGAACCAATCATCTAAGGTTTGCCCATAGGAGAATATGTCCGATGTCCTTGATGAACAATTCAATATTACTGAAGAAAATAAGCAGTCAATTTCCTTTAAGATCCAGGTCTTCCTTACATAGCTGGCTTCACTTTTTTCCTCTCCTCATTCCATACACTGCTTTTCATACAATGCTTAACAATGTTAAGAACCCAAATGGACTATGTTCTCTTAAATCTCATTACCTTTTACTTGTTTTTTACACCATAAGCAAGGCAGCCACCCCTTCTCCCCACACCATTGGTTTTACTTCAACTCATTACCAATTTTAGGTCATAGCTTTGAGGTTGTTTCTTTATAAATTCATCAAAACTGTAGTTGCTTGTGTCACTAATTGTCCATATCTGGCACAAGACTGCACAATCTTTGAAATCAGAGATTAGATTTTATTTACACAGTAATCACATCTCCTATAACACTTGGCATTAACATAAAATTGATATATATATTAAATAAAAGAACAATGAAGTTCCTCAAATAGTAGAGTTAAAAGCAAGAGGAACCCTCGCAGGTCTGGCTCAGTGGATAAAGTGTCAGTCTGCAGACTGAAGCACCCAGGGTTCGAATCCAGTCAAGGGCACATGCCTGGGGTTGTGGGCTCAATCCCCGGGGAGTGTGCTGCAGGTAGCCCATCAATAATTCTCTCTCATTATTGATGTTTCTAGCTCTCTTACTCTTCCTTCAAATATGAAATATATCTATATATATATATATATATATATATATATATATATATATATATATAATTTCAGGTCCCTAATGTTGCTTATTTCTTTTGATAGACTAAACCCCTTAAGAACAAGTACACTTTACTGAGAAGTTCCTTGATAAATATTTGTGAGAAAGAATGAAAAGACACTAATTTCATTTCATTAAGTATACATTAGAATACCAAATCTTTTGAAAAGTTGTACTATTTCCTTGAGAGAAGAAACTTTCCAAAACTCTTAGGAAAGAGCTGCTCATAAAATGTCCACAATAAAAGTGGTCAACACTCTCATCATATCACATATACTTTACATAAAGAAATTGTGTATCCTACGTAATAAGAGTGTAATATGCAAATTAACCATTACTCCTCTCCAAAACCACACCCACCAGCCAATCAGAGCCAGTATACAAATTAACCCAACCAAGATGGCTATAGCCACAGAGGCTTGGGTTTCTCCGGCAACAAAAAAGCCAAGCTTTCCACCTGCTCTTGCAGGCCTAAGCCTCCAATCCAGGCTACAAAGTTTCAATTATAGAAGGTAAACAAATTCAAACAGAAACCTCTGCCACCATGAAGCAATTAGGCTACAAAATCAGAGCCTGGACTGCTCCAGACTACAAAATTTCAATTGTAGAAAGTAAATATATTCCAGATATCAGGGCCTCCACTTGGGTCGCCAGGGTGCATGGCTGGCCTGCAAACCACCACAGGTTCTTTGCTCAGGGTACCCCATGCCCCAAGGGAACCTCCATCCCACCTGTGTACCAGGCCTCTATATTATCTAATAAAAGAGTAATATGCAGATTGACCATAACTCCAACATACAATATTGCTGACCCCATGTGGTCAAAAATCCTGCCCCAATGTAGACATAAGATGGCCACCATAAGATGGCCAGCAGGGAAGTGCAGTTGTGGGTGATTAGGCAAATAGGGGAGGGCAGTTGGGAGGCACCAGGCCTGCAAGGGAGGGCAATTGAAGGCAATCAACCTTGCAGGGGAGGGCAGTTAGGGGTGACCAGTCTGGCAGAGGAGGGAAGTTGGGGGCAAATGGGCTGGCAGGGGAGCAGTTAGACATCAACCAGGCTGGCATGGAGTGGTTAGGGGTGATCAGGCTGGCAGGCAGAAGCAGTTAGTGGCAATAAGGAAGGCAGGCAGATGAGCAAGTGGGATCAGGCCTAAATGGGCAGTCAGACAACTCTCGAGGGGTCCCAGATTGCAGAGGGTACAGGCAGGGCTGAGAGACAATCCCTCCTCCCCAACTGCCATGCATGAATTTTGTGCACCGGGCCTCTAGTAAAAGAATAATCATAAATGACCTTACTCTAACAGCTGGAAGATGGTACTATGATAAAGTTATTTATGAGTATAAAGAAATATAACTGACAATTGTATCAACTGAGAAGCTTCACTGTTTAAAAATATTTTAAAGCAAACATGTTTTTGAATGAAATTATATTATTTTTAAGAAGCAATACACATTCAATCATGCTGAGAATTAGATAAACCAATGGTGACTCAGGTTTGAGTGACCGGAAAGCTTCAGGTGGTGGTATTTCCTCTGACCTAATACAAGAATGAGCGGTTGCACAGGTCTCGCTGTTGAGATGGTATAAAAAGCCAGAGGTGCTCTGCATCCAGCACAAGTCCCTGAGGACAACAGACCTCAGCAGCATCCAGGAGAAGAGCCCATAAGAAACCAATTTGCTCTAACCATGACTTCCAAGCTGGCTGTTGCTCTTCTGGCAACCATCCTGCTCTCTGCATCTCTGCACGAAGGTAAGCACATCTTTCCATGCAGTTTTCCTGGGTTTAAATGTGATCCTTAGATGGTAAGATTATTCTTCATGCTTTGATTAAAAACAAAAAACCCATTTTTTATTCAGGAATAGAAAATAATCTTTGCAGTCATTTAATGGCAATTAATGAAAATGGAGTTTTAATTATTTTAGGCTGTATCTATACAATAAGAAAAATGTAATGCTTGATTAATACAGACATTCTGTTCTTATCATTTATACTCTGTAGTATGCATATCTATACTAATTAAAGGGTAATGTTGTCTTCCAGCCAATCTTCTTGATATCCTTCCTGACGAAGCCACAGAGACTGAGGACCCAGGCTCAGGTAGGCACCGGTGGCTGGAAGGGCCCAGTTGCAGCCTTGATGGGCCCAGGCTCACCAGGCATTGGCAGCAGAGGCAGGGTAATGGGGGCAGTGCCTTATCCTGATTTGCCAGGTCACCTCCAACAAGGGGAGGTAAGACTGTGGTTTAGCCCATGGGCAAAGCAGAGGCAGTTAGGAGACATCAGGCAGGTAGGCAGGCAAATGGTTAGAAGCCAGCAGTCCTCAGGAATTGGGCCTCAGCCAGCAGTCAGACATAATCCCAGGGGTCCCAGATTGGAGAGGGTGCAGGATGAGTTGAGGGACCTCCCCCGTGCATGAATTTTTTTGCACCAGGCCTCTAGTATTTAATATAAATGTATAAGTTAGAGTATATCTTATTGGGAGCCACACTTACCTATAATCTAAATTAATATTGAGCAAGATAACTCAGATAATTTTACACTGTGTACCATTTTACTGAAAAACTTCAGATAGCAATAAATTCCTGTTTGATTTATGAACACCTTGACAGAACATAGACCTTCTTGAGATTCATTTTATGAAATAAATACAGTTTAGGATGTTTATGATATTTAGTTCCTTTATTTTTCTTTGCTCTCAAGCATTGAAGATTGTGTTAAGATATAAGACACTTCTGTGCAACTCATTTATATATCTCTATTAATTCTTTCTGAGGACAATTTCCCTTTTCATGAATCTTAATTTGCATACTAAAAATAGCACTGTGGCTGAAACCGGTTTGGCTCAGTGGATAGAGCATTGGTCTGCGGACTGAAAGGTTCCGGGTTTGATTCGGGTCAAGGGCATGTACATTGGTTGCGGGCACATCCCCAGTAGGAGGTGTGCAGGAGGCAGCTGGTCGATGGTTCTCTCTCATCGATGTTTCTAACTCTCTATTACTCTCACTTTCTCTTTGTAAAAAAATCAATAAAATATATTTAAAAAATAGCACTGTGGTATCACAGAGCATTATGAAAATCTAGTAGATAAAAAAGCATGTTAAAGATGTCAACATTGCACAAAGACAACTCTAGCCTTTAGGTAGAGGTTATCCAATGTCATCAGAAATGAATGTTTTTGAAAACTGAGAAAAACTGATGTCAGAGGCAAGGAGAATATCCAGCCTTCAATTTCTAGAATGAGTTTGCTAAAGATGCGATGTTGTAAAACACATAGTCTTCCAATTATCACATTGGGATTAAAGAGGGAGTATCTAGCAGAGCCCTCCCTATTGTTGAAATCAATCTATAATTGTTTTTATTATTTCCCCACAGCTACAATTCTGCCGAGAGTAGAATCAGAACTCCGATGCCTGTGCGTTGGTATGCACTATGTACCTTTCCACCCCAATTATATCAGGGAACTGAGAGTGATTGAGAGTGGACCACACTGTGATCATTCAGAAATCATGTAAGTACTTTGAAAAGCTATTAGATATCTTCCTTTAGCGGACCTAGAACTGAGGAAGGTGGAAGCATCCAACAAAGTTCTAGGTACTAGGTATACAGTAGTGGCTTAAACAGAAGGACATATTCTGGGTATGAATGGTATTTAAGTATGGTCACTCCCATGATTCATAGCTCTAAATTGCTTTTGACTTAGACTTCATGCCCATACTTAAGGGACAATGAGTTGAGTGGCAAAGGGGTGTCTGAAACTATTAAATGTTGATTTTAATTTCAGTGTGAAGTTGTACAATGAAACATCACTCTGCCTGAACCCTGAGGAACAGTGGGTGCAGGACACTGTACAGGTATTTTTAGAGAGGTGAGTTGCTGTTGTTTTAATTTAGATTTTTCATTTATCCTGAAATATATAGTCCAAAAGCCAGCCTATAAATTTCCTGCTGCTGCCAAGAATATTTCTTAGGTAATTGCCTCTTTAATTAAAAATAAATAGCAGCAATAATGAGTTCATTGTAACTCGTGACTGGGAAGACCACACATCTCAGTTTGTCCAGGGAAGTCTAGGTCTGTGCCTGGTCCCTGTGCCATGATTATGATTCTGTTTCATTCTCAGAAGTGTCCTGCTTTGGAGGATCACTTATCTGGTCTCTCTATTTATAGTTGAAAGTATAGAACATTTCTAACATATGACTATTTAAGACTATATTAGTTTCTGTGTTAAATATAAGGACCACACTTGACTCCTGTTAGTACATTGTTAATCTTTATATTTTATTTATTTATTTTCAGAGCTGAGAAGAAAGAGACATAAATAAGAAAAGCACTCTCCATGGTTTCTAAGAATTCCTCAGTAAAGATGCCAATGAAACTTCTAATAAATCTAATGCTTCACATACTGTTTGGGTCAGTGTAGAGATTTCAGATAAAATATAGGATGCCTGGATAGATTCGAATATTAGGTAAAACAATGAAGAGTTTCTTTCAATGTCCCATGCTATATCTAGGACATACTTATAAACAAACAAACAAACAAACAAAACAAACAACAACAAAAAAACCTCACTACTTACAATAAATTCAAACTTAGTTGGAAATCCTGTATTTTTTGGAGAAGGGGGTTAAACATTGGAACCTTAGTCTGCTAGCCAAGATCCCTTTTAACTGTGCCTTGGTTTCTTCTTTATTACTAACAGAGAAAAAGTATTGGTCACCATTTCACCTTACTGTGATGAGAAAACATTCGGAAACAATTTTGAGTCTTTCATGCTCACGTAAACTATTTTCAAGGAAAACTTATTCACATATTTATTATTTATATATCCATTTAAACATCAAATAGAAAATATTTGTGCATGAATTTGGAAAATGCAAAAGGAGTATTGCCAACAGGAGAGTATAATGATGGTTGTAAATTTATTAATTTAAATAATATACTAGAGAACTGTCTTGATCAAAGTTGATTTATTTTGATTGAGGTTGCTAGATTTAGCAACATTAAAGTCAAACAAAATATCTAATTAAAATGGAAGTCCTATTTTTGATGTTTCTCATATTGTCCTTGTGCTATTCTGTGTTGAATCCCCAGAATCCCAAATTAGGATTCTCTTTCTCCAAACAGCAAAAATTCTTGCTGGCCAATACTTATTATGTATTATACAAATAGACTCTCATAATTGAATTTACATAGTTATGTTTGTAATACTCTCTTTTTAACTTTAAAATTCTTCTCTGTGCTTTTAAATAAAATGGCTTTTCCTACTGATTTGATGGTATGGAACTATAAATGCAACTCTAATACATAATAAAATTCATCATCAAAGTCATCAAGTGTTTATATTTCTTTGGTCCTTTCAAGATCTATTGTTTTATATCTTCGGTTGTATGAAAAAATATTATTTAGAAAACGCAAGTGCTTCCTCAGCATTTTTATACTATGGTGGAAAATAGGAACTTTCATTTGTAGAAAAACAGAACTTCTTTCCAGAGAAGGCTACAAACAATAGCCACTGAGAAATGAGAATTTTCTCAACTCCCCAGTGTATTCCACTTTGCTAATTAGGCTGATTTCAGGTTTTCAATGAACCAGCCCAAGTGAGTGTGAAAGAGGGAAGAGGGTACATATTAAAATGTGCTTTTCAGTTATTTAAGAAGTAAAACTGACACATACAAGGCAAAAAAAAAAAAAGTTCAAAATATCAATAAAGACCACCAATATTTTTAAAAAAGTAAACAAATAATTTTTTTAAACAGATTAGACAGAGCTATAAAGAAATTTGGAGACTAGGAAATAGATCTAAATAACTTTATCTGGAATTTATATGAGAGATAAAGAGGAAGTAAATTGAAAGAAGAAATGAACACAAAGTAATTTGGAGACTAGGAAATAGATCTAAATTACTTTATCTGGAATTTATATGAGAGATAAAGAGGAAGTAAATTGAAAGAAGAAAAGAAGAAATGCAGTATCTAATTGGATTTTTACAAGCAGAAGAGAGGGTCAGAGACAATGATTAAACTGACAATAGCTGGAAACTTTCCAGAAAGGGTGAAAAAAACAACTGGCAGTTTTAGGAAATCCAATGAACTAATGCTTAAATTTACATTGGTAGTCAAAATTTTAAGGATTTTAGAAATGTGTTCTATACTTATCCACTTCCAAGATGATTTACTGTTGCTGTTGGGCATTTTAAATGCACTCTTAAAAATATTTATTATTGAAAGTATTACAGATGTCCCCAAATTTCCCCCGTTGACCAACTCCAGCCTGCACCACCCCCTGACCCCAAGCCTTCACCATCCTATTTTCTGTGCCCATGGGTGATTATCTCCCATGATTACCTCTGGTTATTATATCCCACCCACCCATTCACCCTACCTCACCTTCCCTCTGAAATGCACTCTTTTTTAATCTCCACAAAGGGAAGTGAGGAAGAGGGTCCTCTCTTATTTTCTCACTAGTTACTTCATATTGAAACCTACTTCTCCCCTTTCATTAGCTCCTTGCAATCTGTGTACCTGCAGCTACTATTCTATCTAAGGTCAACATTAGCTGTGTTGCGGAACAAAGCTCATTCTCTTTTCTAATTTCCAGTGCACATCAACACGGTAGTGTGCAACTTAATAGAATTAGTAAAATAAAAAATGGCAAGTCAGCCGAAACCGGTTTGGCTCTGGATAGAGTGTCGGCCTGTGGACTGAAGGGTTCTGGGTTCAATTCTGGTCAAGGGCATGTACCTTGGTTGTGGGCACATCCCCAGTAGGGGACGTGCAAGAGGCAGCTGATCAATGATTCTCTCATCGATGTTTCTAACTATCTCTCTCCTTTCCTCTCTGTGAAAAATCAATAAAATATATTTTAAAAAAATGGCAAGTCATATACAAATAGGAACCAACTGGAAATACAACCCTAATATTTACTATTATAGGCCAAGTGCATCAAATTCATTCACAAGGAGAATGGGGGGAGTTTTAGGGGAGTGGGGGGAGTTTTATCTTAGCCCAGCCTCACACTCTCTAATCTGGAACCCCTTGAAGATGTCTGATTCCTTGCTTAGGACCAAACCTATGGGGTCTAAAAGGGTGTTTGGATATCCCTCTCATAATCCAGGACTGCTGGCTCCCTACTGCTCACCTGCCTCTGCCTGATTGCCCCTAACTGCTTCTGCCTGCCAGTCTAATAACCCCTTAACCACTTCCCTGCCAGCCTGATGAAAAGCTCCCCAGCCAGCCTGATTGCTCCCAATTACCCTCCCCTGCATGCCTGGTCCCACACAACTGCCCTCCCTTGCTGTCCTGGTCACTTCAAACTCCCCTCCTCTGCCACTCAGGTCACCTCCAACTGCCCTTTTCTGCTGGCAACATCACCCCTTAGTGGCCACAACTACCCTCCCCTGCAGGCCATCTTGTGGTGGCCATCTAGTGTCAACATGGTGAACAGCCATTTTTGCCCACATGGGGGTGGCCGTCTTGTGTCTTGGAGTGATGGTCAATTTGCATATTTCTCTGTTATCAGATAGGATTCTTAGAAGCAGTGTTCCTACTAGTGGTGATTTCTCCCTGCTCATGTTCTTTTCAGGCTATGTTGTGGGGTTTCTTCTTTCCCAGAATTCTGCCTAAATTTCATTTCCATATTTTCCAAGCATAAAAAGTTATTTTTCTCAAATAAACTTTAATTTCAATTTTTCCTTGTCTACTTCTGCCTTCCTTTGCAGTGTCTCATCTTGTAGATCTCATACATAGTGAGTAAAACCAATAAAAAACAATTAATTTTAATAAAATATTGGTAGGAGAGACACATGATTCTTCAGAGGAGATATTAAGGAGTTAGTGTATTTAACTAAGCTAGATTTCCCTGATAAAACATAAGCTACAGTGTGAAAGATATGTAGGAGTTAGCCACACAGAGGGAAGAAAATGTGTGGGAAAGAGTTGTGTAGACTGCAGTGAAATAATTTGTAAACACGAGCGATTTTTGAGAAGTGAAAAAGTTTAGTGTGCCTAGAGTTTGGCATTGGAACAGAACAAGTACTAACAGATGAAGTTATGCTAAATGGACTATGGAATGCTCTAAAGGGCTTAGAGTTGAATTGAAAACTTTTAGCCAATTTCAAATTCCCCAATTTAAATGGTGAACATTATAGGCTATTCTTCCTGGAACTCTTTACAGAAGAAAGTGGAAAGCCATAGAAGCAACTCAACAGTCTGATCGTGGGGCTCTTGAATTATATTTGGAGACTAAATTAACAAAAAAACTCCCAACTTCATAGCAAACATTTTACAATTAAATACAATTTAATATGATCAGTGTCAACCCTGAAAGCAAAGTGAAGACATCTGCACCAGCTTGGTGAATCTTAATAATAAGGACTTTTAAAAATTTATCTTTTAATTCAATCTTTAAACTTTTAAGTTGTACCAAATGATTTTCTCCACACCAGTGTTAGTCTGGGTAAGACAGTAAATATTCCACCAAAAAGGCAATTAAGTATATCAAATTGGAGATTAGGCATTATTCTTCTAAGCCAAAATGGAAAAATGAAGAGTAAGACAGAAAATTTGAGAGATAAGAAAAAGCCATCACTTTGCTGAATTGAAAATGTTTAATTTATTTTGCCTAAATTGTATTAGTAAAATTAGTTAGTGTACAGACAGAGATTTAGGCACAAACTTAAAAATGCAACCTATTATCTTATTCCTTTAATCCATTTGTGTGGATTACAAATTATGAATCTCATTTTACCAAGGAGTAAAATGAATGTAAACACACACACACACACATACACACACACACACACACTAAAATAAAGGAGGTATAAAGAGATAATTTAAAATGTGTTCACTTTAAAATATAGCAATTATATAATTCTATAATACAGCCCATCAGTAGATAAGTGGTTAAACAAGCTTCGGTACAATTCACAGACTGGAATACTATGTTTCTGTAAAAAAGCATCTCTTACCCCTTGCAACAGCATGGAAGGACGTGGAGACAATTATGCTAAGTAAAACAATCCAGTCAGAGAAAGTCATATATCACATGACCTCACCTATATGTAGGATATAATGAACAAAACAAACTGATGAACAAAAATAGGTCGAGGGTAGATACATGGAATAGACTAACAGCTCTTAGATGGAAGAGGGGTTGGAGACCAAGAAGAAACAAACCAAAGAATTTATATGCACATATGTATAGCCCATAACATAGACAATAGTGTGGTGCAAGCTTGTGGTGTGTTGAGAGCAGACTGGAGGAGATCAGTGAGAGAGAGGAATAGGGAACATTTGTAGTAGTATCAATAATAATAAATA